ATTAGTCCGTCAGATGTCAAAAGAATTCCTTTTAAGAATTATTGCGTCCCAGATTTGGATGAGCACTTAGATTTTTCGAAAAATTATACAATTCCAGAATGGAAAAAATTTGTAAATGAAAACTTGCATCTTTTAAAAATAGTGTCACCTGAGCCCCTGCAAGTTACAGTCCATTCATTGAACAGTATGGTATCAAATATGTCAAACATGACAATACCTAGTAAGATTCTTTTAGAAAAAATCAAAGATGAAAATATTGCAGTACAGCAAAAATTGCAATTTAATGAAATTATCGAAAAATGTTTATTTGGAGCAAATAATATGGCTGAAATTGATGGAATTTCTTATATTTATAAAAATGGCTTGCTTTATAAATTGAATAGACAGGGAACCCCAAAAATATATGTCCCCCGTAATCTTGAAGGAGCACTTTTAGCGTGTTTTCATTTGACACTTGGACACGCAGGGATTGAGAAAATGATACACAGTTTGTATCCGTATTATTTCCCGCAAAAATTGGTTAAAATGAGAAATTTAGCAGCAAGGTGCCATGCATGCGCTTTAAACAATTATTCTACGCATAAGCAGAAAACTGGCGTGACACCGTTGCCAACTGATGTTTTTACAACAGTTTATTGTGATTTAGCAGAAAACCTAAATCCTAATGGTCCTTATCAACACTTGTTGATTGTCGTCTGCGCATTGTCTGGATTTATAAAGGCCTATCCAATACGTTCTAAAACCGCAGAACAAGTTTTATATCCAATTTTATTTGATTTGTTTCAGTACTTTACAATCAAATATTTTGTTAGTGACAATGGCGCATGTTTTTCGGAAAAAGCATTTTTAGCAACTCTACATATATTAGGAATTAAAAAGATACAATTGGCATCCTTGTCTCCAAGTAGCAATGGAATTGCAGAAAAAGGAGTAGCAACTATTAAGTTGTTGTTGAAGAAAATGTTGTCTTCACAAGAAAGTTTCACGTGGTACCATGCTTTGCCACTAGTCATTAAACAGTACAATGCAAGTACGTGTCTTAAAACCGGGTTCAGTCCATTGACGTTACTACATGGAATAAATTCCTCGCATACAGTGTCGGCTTTAAATAGTCCGCCCCCTGCAAAACTGTATCCACTGCTTGAAAATCATAAAACATATGTGCAACATAAATATGAAGAAAAAGATAAGGTTTTAAAATTTGTTAGAGAAATTTTACGTGAGAAAAAGATAGTAACGCAGGAAAAGCAGAATAAGTTTAAGATTTCAACAGAATTCTCAGTAGGAGATTATGTCTTCGTTAAGGATAAGAAGATAGTTCTAGGAGCAGCTAGACCATTGAAATCATATTACTCGGCTGACCCATATGTAGTAGTACAAGTGAAACCCGCATCTCTCCTGTTGCAGAGAATATCAGATGGTTTCCAGACAGTGTACCATAAGAATTTCGTCAAGAAATATTCGCCCCTTGACGCAACATTTGCAGACTTACCAGTAGAAGTAAGAGAAGTTTTGGTTCATAACTTTAAGGATTTAGATAATCTACAGTTTAATAAGTTAAGACAACTTGGCCCATTAGACCATCCTACAGGTTTAATTTTAGATTATGATATATTAGCAGAAACTCCAGATGAGAGTATTACCAAGGAAGACCTTGAAACAGCAACAGAAATTCTAGAGAAGCATACGCCTATTATGACTTTAGAGAAGTACATGAAACCTAGTGCAGGAAAATTAGAGGTTTCAGATGAAGAAAATACGCCAAGGTTAGGGCAAGATCTTAACAAGGAAGAACCAAGTAAAAATTCGTTTAGAGCAGAAAATAATCCTAGAGTAAGAGTGCAATACCAGGATGAAACGAATTTAATTTCAGATTTACCTGTGTCCCAGAAAACTGCAGCACAAACCAGAAATAAGTCAAGAAAAAGAAATAAGGGAGCAGTAAATCAAGCCAGAGCTATCACGAGATTAGCCAGAGAAGAAATCCAGAAAACAAGTGATCCAGAAGAGGACACCAGCCGGTCTGAAGCACCAGCAGACTCAGATTCAGAATCAGATTCTGAACCAGTAAAAAAGGTACAATTTGAAAATGAATAGTTGTTTAGATTTCCTATTTAATCGAAATGGAGCAAGTAAAGAAATAGTCATGGTAAATAAGCAATGCTGTATTTGTGATTTTAATATATTGGTTATGAGATCTTATGGAATATCATTAAAAACGTTGGCATTAATGAGTATTCATAAAAACATTGCATTAAAAGGACCAAAATCTCATAAAGTAGTAATTGATCATTTATTGGATCTTGAAATCCCAGAAACCTTGAAAGCACAGATAATTATAGAATATGTCTGCTGTACAAAGCATAATAATAAGATTAGCAAAAGGTTTGAACAAAATTCCTTTTATCGTTTCAAGGAATTGTATATGCATATTGAGCAGTTATTCATTCGCCCAAAAAGAATGTCAGAACCTAGATATTTTCCGTTAACTGTCCTAACGTATTTTTATTTAAAATATCTAACAGTAATAAAAGATCCAAGATTCATGATAAACTTCGTCCAGAAAAACATTGAAAGTTTTCCAACATTACATTTTGCGCATGAAGAAACAATCACAATTGATATAAGTAAAACAGCAGTTCCTATTTGCTTCCATGAAGATATATTGTTCAGTTCATATAAGGCCTACAAATTGTTAAGTTTCACTCCATCTCGAGTAGGAAAAGTTTATTCAAACTGCAAATGGCAACTATTATAATTTTCATATATGTAACCTGTACAGTGTACAAAATATTCTGTTTAGAACGTGTACGTGAACAAAGAAACAAAACAAGAAACGAAAATGAACAATGCAGCAAATAAAGAAAATATGACTCCTGAAAAAATACTGGATCATCAGGAAGAGAAGACTACACAAAACAGAAAAGTGTTAGATAACGATATAACACCAGTGAACAAAAGGCCATGGGAACAATATATGAACGCACCATTGAGAGAAATTCAACCAGTGAAAAAGACAAAGTTAAACTTCCAACCAAGGAAACTAGATTTCTCAAGCGCAGGGGAGAATGCTGAGACAGATTTCAAGAAACCAGCTCAGGTTCTAACATATAGGATAAGACCTGTAACCCCAGAAAGTGTAACCGAACCATATGTGCATAAACGCACACCGCGCTATAAAAAGAGTGAACAAGACGTAGTTAGAGAAATCAAGCTCAGAAGTCAAGCCTTGAAAGAAGAGAACACAAAACTTGAGCAGAAAATTACGGAGAGACTAAGAGCAATCAGAATTGCAACAGACAAGAAAGAATATGACCTAGAAGAGGGAGAAATAGGCTCTCGTAATGAAAATATTACAGAAACTAGGGTTCAGCATATAAACGAAACGGATAAGAAAAAAACGGAGCATGGAGAAGCAAAAACCAAGGAAAGCATGGAAGAAGGAATTATCAGCAAAAGAGAAGTACAAAAAGTCATGAGTACTCTGATCTTCCATAGAAAAAATACTGTGGCAAAGGTTAAATATCAAGAGAGAAACTCTGTAAGCGATGACTTATATGATGAACAAATGTGTCAAACAGAAGACTTGGAAAATCAGAGAAATAATTGCCAGGTGTGTTTCAGTAATATCTTACCNTGAAAAATGGAATACTGATGTGCAGGAATTGCAATTATTTGAAAATTAATCTCCGAGAAAGAAATAGTTTGACTGCTGAAGAGTATGAACACATCACAAATCATGGTTATGTGACTGGAGAGAATCCTACAGTAGAAGAAACGTTGTATTATAATGGCAAGAACACCTTGTTCGTGTGTTTGGAGTGTGAACGAGTGTTCCCGTCTTACCTGTCATTAGTTCTGCACAGTCTGTACTTTAAGGAACACACCAACATGTACAGTGAAATTTACTGCCCTCTATGTGGAAAATTTGAGGCAAAAACAACGTTCTCAGCACATCTTTTGAATAATCATTCAAATCAAGTCAAATGTTTAATGTGCCCGGCAGTTTTCCAACATGTCAACGACCTGATAACTCACCTTGTTCAGCCAAATCCTCACAAAGAAATCACCACGGAAATCAGATCATTATTAACGGAAAATCAAGTCTCAGCTTTACATAAGTATCGAAAAGAAAATACTCTGATGCATCAAAGAACAGCTGTGACGATAATACCTATCCTTAAAGAGAAAGATATGATAGAGTATCGGAGATATTTAAACCAACCAGAGTTACTGGAAAACCACCAGATAGAGCAAAACGCGCAAGAAAGAAGTCATCCTAGGAACTGTCAGGATATTCTCGCAAAGTTCTCCAATAGAGAGTTATCTCTGCGACTCTCTAATGTTCTACAAAGCATCAAGTTGAACACAAAGTATATAATACCAAGAAAAGTTTTTGAGGAAATCCAATATGAATTAAACCAGACATCCGTATCCCTCATCATGGAAAAGTACTGCAGTCAACTCGTAGAACTGCCTTTAGCCCTAGAAATCAAACAGTATGGCGTAGATAATTATGAACAAGGTCACCTGCTCCGACCTTCAGTACTGGTCCGCAGTGAAAACGTTTGGTTACCAGCCGATTTGCACATCTATGACTGTGTTATCATAGGAAATCTTGGAATGAAAGACTCAGGAACGTTACCTGGAGCATCTTTCAGAACCTTAAACCTATCTCCGCAACAGAGTTTTGTATGGCCAAATTGCTTTATCACTCTAAACCACTGGAAGAACAGTGTACAAGGTACACTGGAGTTAGACGAAAAATACACCGAACCTGTGTCAGCTACAGAGAACTATCTACTTCATGTGAAGAATGTACTGAGCAGAATTCAAGCAAACAAGCAAACTTTTGTAGAGTTCAATCTGCAAGGTTTCCTCCACAAGATACCGACGGAGAAGTGGAGTCAATTCCTGGATAAAAATTTGAAAACATTAACAATAGCGTATTTCATCGGAATAGAACGAATACGACAAGAGCTGGAGAAAACAGGGAAACAGCATCCGACACCTGTAGTGATTGGACAAGGACCTATCTCCGGGATCCTACAGCTCTCAGCTAGTGATATGAATAAGTTCACAGAAAGGATTGATCAAGCAGGGTTATTAATCTCTCGCCTGCTATGTGTGACGTACATACCGATATCAAGTTTGGTCGGATATGGTTCCCGAGCTCATGGGAATATCCTCGGAAAACCTCAACCCCCTCTAGATTTAAACCACCAGTGGACGTCTTACGCCAGACACCAGGTCCTTAAACTTCTCCAGGATTACATGGAAACTAGAGAAGATATCCTCAACCGAGCACAACCAATAGAATAAGGTTAGGATATATAAGTATATAGAAATCATAAAGTATTAGAATATTGAAAGGTTGAGTTAGTCACACAGTTAAGAAAGTTAATGTTTAGGATAAGTAAACATAGAAAGGAAACCCAGGAAATTTTCTAAAAGGTGTAAATGAGAAAAATGTTAAATTTAAAGGTAGTGAAACCTTGAGATTTTAAAAGAAGGAAAGAAATTAGGAAAAATTTCTCTAAAAGGATAGATTAAAAACTGGAAAAAATTCTAATGTCTAAAGTCTAGTCAGTCCAGCAAAACACGACTATTTTTAGATCCAGTTCAAGAAGAGTATCAAGATGTATAGTGTATGGTGTATCCTGTATAGTCTGTCAGTATCAGTATCATCTCAACATACGTTCCTTGTTCCGGAGCAGCAGATCTCCAGTGCAGAACAGGTAATATATACAATAATATATTTCGATTTTAAAGTATTTACTCTAAAACCGGCGGATTTAGACAAGATTGCAACTCTTGTTGGTAAATTAGATGAATTACTGATATCTGAGACTTTTCCCGCCCATACATCTTTATTGAAGGTTTATGAAGATATAAACCAAGATTTAGCCAGGTTGGATGATGTAAATAATGCAACACGCAACTTTCTTGAGGAAAAGGTTGTAAAACCGGCACAGAAATTTTGTCTTTTCACGCGTAGTATATTAGACGAAAAGATCTTTAAGGATCTTATTGAAGGCTTTGAATTGTTAATTAAAGCAGCTCCGGCTAAAACTGATTTGACGGTAGCAAATCAACAAAGTATCGTATCTCCAACCTCGCTTAAAATCTCACGAATTTTATTCGATGCAAAAAGTTTATTGAAGGACTTTTTCTCTAGTATGGAAAATCAGTACTTCCACTTACTAGCCATTGCAAGAAATGAAATCCCAAATTTCATAAGTCATAAACTTAATGAGGGAAATTGTGTAAAAAGTACACCCCATGATAAATTTACTCTAATCCGCAGTAAATTTTATTCCGAAGGAAATTTTCTTACGATTCAACTTACACAGGCTACAGAAGTAAAGAATTATTTGGTTTGGAAACCTATCCCTTTTGCAGACTACATTTTAGATTGCCCAGATTTGGTAACCCCGTTGGAATCAAATTCAAGTTTCTTTGAAAGAAAATGCACGCAATTATTAAATCATAAAAAATGCGAAATTATTCCTGTCTCAACGGTTTGTATGACGTTGATTGCGGAAAATGACGTGAAAAATATCTTGAGAGAATGCAATATGTTAAGAAACACAAATTTTGAGCCCTTTTGGTCGTTATCTGGCATCGTGGTTCCGCGGTATGCAAGTATTTATGAGCAAAATTTAGAAAACAAGGAAAAGAAATTGTTGCAAATAGTAAATCCAAACCCATTGTTGTCTATCATTATTAGATCACCTTTGACTTTAGAAATCGAAAACGTAGATAAGTCTTATAAGTTTGGTCCCTCAGGTTTCAAAAAGGAAATTATTTACTCCGGCATTTCTGAACCCGATATTATTGCTTTTCTGGATCCCCTTTTTGATTTGAAAACAAACCCTGAGAAGTACATTATAGTGTTACTCGCAAACTTGCTCGCAATTGTTATCATAGCCTCCGGAATAACCACGACTATTTTTAAGACAAAAGCGACGGAAATTACTCAAAATTTCGCTTTGCAAAATAAAAGAGGACAAGTACGACTTGTTGCAGTGTAGAAAACAAATACAGAACCTCTTTTATTTTCAGGAAGGGATCCGTCTGTGAACCAAACCAATACTGAACAAATTCTTTTAAAAATTATGAACATTGTCGTGAAAATGTGAAATTGTGGAAAGTGAAAAATTTTTAGAGTTTGATTTTTTACATGTTGACCAAGAAAGTCAAAACGAAAGGAACAGGCCTTTAGACAAACTGTAAATAACTGTGTACAAGTTGAATCAGCACCAAATGTGAGAAAATTGTAAACTGTAACAAAAATTTAACCTAAGTATCTGCACGAGTTAAATTTAAAACGAAGTAAAAATTTCACGCGAAATAATATCTGAGTATTGTATAAGTTGTAGAGAAAATGTGATTCGATCAAGTAATATATATAGATGTACCGTGTACTTACTGTGGTATTTCCATAAGCGTTGTAAAATATACACGATAACCCCTACAAATCTTTTAAGGCAGAGATTTTCAATAAGAACCAAAAGGATTAAAATGTTTCATAGAGATGTGCATTATTAAATGAAAAATTAACGGTTCTAAAATGTATTTGGATCCAAAACACAACTAAATGTTAGAACAAGTATTACAGTATTCTTGGTACAGTAGGGCATATTTATAGTGAATCGACTAATCTCTTAGCGTCCCAAGAGAAGATAAATGTTTAAACATAATATAGATTTGGCCAAAACTTAACAAATATATCAGTCTTATAAAAGGAAAAATAAAGAACATATTTTCTTTATACTGGCATTACATAAAAATCACGTTGCAATCTATTTGATTACATATATGAGAACAGGTTACATATCACTAGGTTTGGTTATCCAAAGCCTAAATAGAGATTAGCACAACACTAGGTATAAGTTAAGGCTGTGACCTAGTAGGGACTGAAGCGTTTAGTAGGAAAAGACACTCTCTTACTCCTACGAAGAGGAGGAACGACTAGAACAACTTCCGGGAGAACATTAGGCTGATCAGCAGGACGAGAATCTTGAATTTCATCCCCGCAAGTATCAGGTTGTTCTAACCCTGCAGGCATTGATACGGAGCGAGATAAACCAGGAGCATTGGGTTCCAGTGCCAAGTTTGGTACACTGCTTGAACTACGTCTGTTCAAAACCCCACCTTCAGCTGCTCCCCCACTCAACTCCCTAGTATCATCAGCCTCGGATTCTGGTAGATCAGGTAGATCAACACCAGACTGGTTCTGATTTACAGCTTCAGCAAGTCCCTAAGGAAAAGCAAATAAAAAAAAATAATTTTTGAGAATGCATTTAGTCACACGCACAAATTTTAAATGTTGGTGTTTATATTTTCAAAAAAAAACGAAAAGGCCACGTGTATAAAAGGGAAATTTTATAAAAAAAATTTTTTTGGTGTCTACAATTTTTTTTTTGCTTACCCGCTCAACTGTGTCCTGATCAACAACCTCTGGCCAAAGATCAGAGATATTGTAATCCCCAGAAACAGACAAATCCTGAGCCAGTTGAGACTGAAAGGATTGAGCCAATTCGCTCCGATAGCTATTTGAAATAATCGAAATCCGATTCATCGGAGTTGAGAAGGGATCCTCAGAAGAAGAATCTTCATCAGCGTCAGAAACAGGATCCAGCGGTATAGGACTGCTAATCAGCGGAGGATTAAACGGACGCAACTTTCCCTCCCTCGGTACCGATACTTCATTGGGTACAACTTTAGATTCAGGCCCGTCGTCACCAGATTCCTGGTAAGCATTCTTGATGACTGGCTGCAGTTGGTTAATCTCACGGAGCTCAAACTGCTCCTGATGATGAACCTGAACACTCGAGGAGCTACTTGAAATCACTGTAGCTACCGAACTTGAACTCCAGGAGTACATAGAAGAGAAACTGGAAGCAGTCTCGTCCCTAGCTTGAGGACCAAGAACTTCATCTCTTCGAACCCTCTGGCAGCGATTCACCACCTGAAATACGTAAGAAATTAGTAGGAAACCAAGAAAAGAATTTTCTGGAAGCATAGAAAGTTTAGTTTAACTAGCTCGGAAAGTTTTCAGCTCTGTTGCATCTCTAATGATTAGAGAGAACTCAAGAAAATAAAGTGACAGAATAACCACAAAGCAAATGTTACCTGAACCACAGCACGAGCCGCGTCCACAGACCTTGCTTCAAACCGTCTCATCTGATTAGGGAAATATCTCAACAGGATAACATAAACGATGGTTCCAGCAACCACCAAGGCGACCAAAGAACCGAGAACGACCTCCAGGACACGATCATCACCATCCTCGGCATCTTCAGCAACTTCAACAGCTTCAGCAACGAGGACCACAAGGGATCTCTCATCAACAGGGCGTTCATCGTCCACCTCGCCCATAATAACTCGTGGAGGTACTCCCAAAAGCTCTTGCAAACGAGAGTTGCGCAGACGGCTCAGCCACAAACTCATGTCGAACCGAGTTTTGATATTGGAAGCACTGGAAAGGTGTAGAGAACGATGGCAAATCTTCGCAAAGTCGAGATTGAAGAACCGCGCCGGGAGCAATTACATCTGAAACAAAAGCCAGGTTACAAATTGATAATTTGATAAATAATTAAAAGTACACTATATATACAGATAATCACACAAAAATTTAGATCGAATATTTCCACACTTATATATATAAATAAGATTTAAATTGAACCAAAGAAAGAGAAAAATAACAAGTATAATATACAGCACGTATGTATAATAGGCCCGTAATGAAACAAGGTTTCATTAAACCACACAATTAATCAAAGAATAATGTTTCAAAATAAAATTGAAACTTACGTCATTCCATTTGTTATTATTTATTTTGAAAAATTTCCGCAATAATACTAAAGAATGTAACGCGGTATTTTTGCGCACGGAAGACGAGAAAATATTAACCTTAATGCCCTCTAAATTAGAAATGAAAAAGAACTAATTTAAACGCACGTAAAATACCAACACACCAAAGAAATAAGATTTTATACCAAAAGCAAAAAATTATTCTAAAATACGCATAATTTTTAAGTAAATAAACTACGAAAATATACCATTACCTATCGCTAAGAACTCCAGGAAAAGACTGGTTGACCCAGCCAAAGCACCCTCACTGCTACCAAAAGGCTGCCTGCCCAACAGGTGCGCAGAACACGTATTTGAGTATTATGCGCAAGAAACGCAATTAAAAACCATACATATAAATGACTCACCGTCAAATGCTAGCTAAATTTATACATATATATCTATAAATATAAATATACGTACCTATACAAGTACAAATGCAATGTTTAAAAATAGAATAATATCAAAAAAATCGAACATACAAATCTATATAATATTATTCATCTATCTTTAAAACATATAAATCATATAAGAATATATACTATATGAACAAATATACAATAGATATACAAATCCTTACATATTATTAGAGCAAATATTTCAATTGAATGGTAAGGAATGTAGTAAGATTATCAGCTATAAATAGAATCAGCGAATAAAGGGGGGTAGCACCAAATTCAATAACTATTTCCAGTTTAATCTGTTTTGTGAAAACGAAAACATCGGAACAAACCCTTATTCCAACCATGTTAGGTATACATATATAGATCTTATTTTCACTTTTTCACAAAGGGGGTGATGTTTTATTATTTTTTTTAAAAAAAGGTTCTAGCAAGCGCAAGGCTATAAAGGGCAAAGGTTTACGTTAAAAGTTCTATTAGAGATAGAAACCATAAAGGGCTGAAATGTTTATTAAAAGGTTCAAATGAGAAATGCAAGGAAATACTTTAAGTTGCATAAAGTTTCGCTTGTAAAAATCTTGAAGAGACGCGAAGCGCTCAAGATTTTCACACCTAAGTCCAGCATCAAAGAAAACGGCGGATCGTTTTTTAAGAAACAAGTTAAGGACCACTTTTTACATTGTAACAGAAGTAAGCTGGCACGCAAAAAGAAACTTCAACTTTGCAGAAGTTAAGAGATCATATCTCAAGTGAGTCCAAAAAACTTTTGAATAATAAGAAATTTTCTGTCCTAAAGAAAATTTCAGCAAGAAGTAAAAGTTTAAAAGCAGAAGCAACTTTAAATTTGTTGATCTTAGTCCACAAATAAAGAAAAGGGTGCACACTTTATTTGTTAAACTTTGAGACTTAAAAGTGGACTAGCAAAGTAATAGATCAAAAATTTGTTTAAACTTTAAAGCACCATATCTCCAAGAGATAAAGAGACTAGTTCTCAGAAAAAGTAAAAGTAACTTTGAAACAAATTTTCTGTCCTAAAGAAAATTTTAGCAAATAAGCAAAGACTTTAAAAGCAAGAGACATTGTAAATTCATTGATTTTAAGTCCACAAATTAAGACTAAGGTGCATTATATTTTAATTTGATTAAAAGGATAAGTGGACTAGTAAGGAAAATAATCAAGAATTTTTTTTTTTTTGAAAATTTTTAAAGCACCACATGCCCAGTTCTGTTTAACAAGGATATTGCTATATCCGGGCATCAGTGAAATAGTTTAAAGATGCATTTTTGAATATGCAAGAAAAACATATTGTTTAGTCGTTTTTCTTTAAACTAGTTTGAACGCTTTTTCGACTACGATCGTTAAAAGGTTCAAGAGACTAAGACAGATAGTAATCAGAACTGTAAGGGTCAGTAAGTTTAGTAAATTGCAAAAGAACAAATTTTGGCAAAAAATTTTCTTTGAAAATTTTGTTGTATTTTGTTGCAAAGTGAAATTTAACGAAGGGGTAAAAGTAAACTTTGGCAAATAAACTGAACCCAAGTCTGATATGTGTTAGTAAAAGTTAGACAGGAAATTAACCCTATATCCTGAGACACTGCTCAAATTTAAGACAGATAGTTAAGAAATCTGTCAGGACAAGTCAATATGTATGTCATCTAAATTTTGTTTCAGTATCGGAGATCACGTTCGTCCTAATCATAGCTAGATGGTTGAGAAACAGAGGAGACAATCATGCTGAGTCTCAGTATGAAATGCAGCTCTGGTCGCAGGTCCTAGAACTCTCAGAGAACCTCAACTGCGGTGCTCAACTATACGATTTATCTGATGAGCTTATTTCCGGTCCACTGGAGAGACTTTTAGCCTATCCACTGGGACGACTCAAGAAGTGGAAGTCCAAACCCCAACAGCTCTATGTGCTCGTACACGCTAACAGTCGAGCCACGATCTACTCTAGAGAAAGCATAGAGAGTGCTTTTCTCTGCCTTCAGGAGGTCGCACTGATAGATAACCAGATTGATGTCGTGAACTCTAAGAGATATCACATTCCCCGAGTCCCTCATCCAGCTGTGACAAACAGAGTCCAGCATAAGTTCAGCAATCGTGAGAATATAGAAGCACGCATCAGGAGATGCATCCACCTGGTTGAAAGTTTCAGGCTCACACCTCAGCTCCACCAGTTAGTTGGATCTGCAACAAGAGAGGTAAAATAAAATATGAACCTTTCACTACTTAGAAGAGAAGAAAAACAATTTTGTTTCTTTTTCACAAAGGGGACTATGATGCAGTGTGACCACAGCATGTTCTAGCTAGTTTAGAACCATAGAAGAATTGTAAGATCTAAAAGAGATGAGCGAGAAAAACCTAGATATATGTTTTGTATTTTTAGATCTTTGAAAACTGTTTAGAGCTCACCGATAACGTCAGAACCTCATCCATCATTCACCGGATGGGAGGAGTAGAGGCACCTCTGCTTAGGTTTTAGCTAACCCTAGTAGTTGTACTTTATGGTCTATTTCCCCTTTAACTAAGATTTGGTTGAGTAACGAAACTTGGTTGTAGTTACACTTTAACTCCCTCTCTTTCTGTCTCCTAGATCGATAAAGAATTGGATAGGTAGCATCAACGCGGTAATGGACTCGGCATACAGGAGTGACAGATGCATCATACAAATGGAAAATAATTTTAAGAAGAGATTCAAACTTTTCAGAACATAATATTTAACATTTTCGTAGCTAAAAGAAAAACAATTATTTATGTTTGAAAAATATAATATCAAATTTTTTTTTGGCAACTCGTATAACCCCAGGAAAAGTTCGTCAAAGATGACAATATTTCCTTGCAATAGTTGTCGACATTTATTACTTTTAAAAGTTTGTCAATTTAAACATTTCTAATTTGATAAGTTGTTAACAAAGCAATCAACTTTAAAGAATTAGTTTTGAATTGTTGAGAAAAATGTTGTTGCAAAAACGAAAAAATATATAAAATTTTGATAAAAGTAAATGATTAGTTTTGTGGAATTATGAAAAATAATCTCAATAAAATATCCATATTTTTTATTGCAGAGTTCAAGTTAATGTAGGCTTACAAATATTAATTGCAAATTGTTTTTGGCACAAAATTCACAAAACGATTTTTATGTAAAAGCTTTTTTCAGAAATTTATTGAAAACTATTTATTTTCAATTCGATCCCAAAATTTCATTTATATTTTAAAACCATGAAAAGGAAAATTATTTAATTCATCTTCCCCAAACACTAGAATTTCAAGAACAATTAAAAATTTTCATCATTTTTCAAAACCTGAGATTCAAATAAGCTTTCAATTTTTATTTCATAAAACATGTTCTCGAATGAATAGTTGGCTAAAAATTTATTGTTCCTAAAGATAAGTTTTTAAAGTTTAAATTATAAAAGAAAAACTATGAAAAATATGAAAAAGTTAAACAGGCATTGTGTTCCCCATCATATTGGTTTGGCAGGGTTATAAAAATATATATTTCCAACTCGACAAAGTACAGTATAACAGATATAATTCAATTTTAATAAAATATTATCACATAATTTATGCTTGTCATGGTTTTAATTGACCTTCAAAATTAAGCCGATATTTTTTGGGCCATTTTTTGTTCATAAAAAGGGTAAATCGGGGAAATACTGGGAAATCACATAAATTAAAATTCTTAAAAAAATACAGTTCACAGGATTAAATACAGTATACAGAGTTAAATACAGTATACAGGGTTAAATACAGTATACAGGGTTAAATACAGTATACAGGGTTAAATACAGTATACAGGGTTAAATACAGTATACAGGGTTGAGAAGTTAACAGATTCTTTTTAAAAATAATGGCAAAGTTCGTTAACTGTTATGGTTTGAATGGCATGAAATTCATGAAAAAGATAAAAATGCCTATTGTTGTTTCTAAATATTGATTCTTTATTTTTGAAATTTATACCACAAAACACATCACCAGATGGAATATTCGATATATTTATAACGATAAACGCCGCTTATAAATCGAGATCGTTAACGAACGGCAACTTTATATTAACGAACAGAAAAAATCCAGTTATTAGTTTAAAACGGCTACTTGATAAACCGTTCTATTAATTTATCTAACCTGTAACAAGCGAAATGAAATAAGTCCAAACCATTATTTTATTTCCACTTTTTCTCTCAGATGTCAATATTGCA